AAAAAAGATAAAACAAATACTTTCTTTCACGAGTGTGTGAAGTAATTAAACTCGAAGTTGACTTCGCGGTAATTACCGTAGTATTCAACGCTTGCACTGCCTTTCTTCCCTTTTCATTAGTCTAATGTCATACGAAAAGAAAAATGGAAAAAAAGAAAAGACGATTAAAACAAAAACAAAAAAATAAATTTAAAAAAAAAACGTAAAAAACTAAAATCAAAAATTGTAACAAATTAATAAAAAAAAAAGCGACTGTGTTTGATCCTCTTTGGTGAAAATTAAAAAAAAAATCAAATAAAATAAATAAATGCCAGGAACTGCTGTTGCATATTTACACACGTATATTGTTCTTAAAAATCTATTCGAGAGAAAGCAAAAAAAAGAAAAAAAGAAGATTTAGATGAAATAGTTACAAATAAAAAAAGAAACTGTGACACACACACGCAAAAAAAAAACGAACTCACTCTTGCTGGTCGAGAGTCGTAGATATATTATTTGAAATAAACGTAAATACGTATTTAGATATATATATTTAGTGGTATACATATTATGTACTTACAAAAAATAAAAAAATGTCTTATCTCTTTCGTTCCAAATAAATTTACTCGTACATATGTATCGTATGTGGTATACGATCCCTATATGGGTCGGTCGGTCGTTCATACGAGGCCTTTGCATGAATGTCCTGTATATGGGTCGCTAGTAACGAAAGGGATATTAGCCAATTATATATATATACATTTATTTAATAGTATTGCAAGTGAAATATATAAAATACTAATAATACGTTTTAACAAAAAGATCTCAATAGGAATGATGATTATATGCGCTTATGAATCAGAATTGTTATGTTTGAAAAGGATAATTATTTATTTGTTAGTTTCAAATTTTTTAAATCATGTCTCATTATTTTTTAGCAACAATTTTAGGTAATGTATTATGTAATATTTGTTATATACATATAATGTTCATGACACACGATCATCGGTTGGGTTGCTTATACATGTCTATAGTTAGTACATTTATTTTTGCAGATTATCTTGTTCCATTGAAAAAATAAATCAATCATTTATTACATTTCTTTTAACATTGTCGATCTGTACAGTACAAAAAATGTATTGTTTAATATGGAAATAATAAGAAATAAACTTTGAGAAACACATCTCCGTACATATCAACGATGGATTTATTTTAATGAGTAATTTTTTTTTTTTAATATTAATTAATTTATTTGTTCAAACACATAAGACCTCGATATGCAGTTTGTAATATTTCTATAAAAATAAACAAAAATCTGTGAAATGTAGACAATCTGCAAAAATAAATTACATTAAAATATATACATATATGATATATATATATATATATAGAGAAGGTATGTTACGAAAAAGCGCATTGTGAGTTCATAAATGCAACTCAAATTGGTACAAAAAAATACTATATTGAAAAGTATATGGAGATTATATATATATACACACACTCTCATACATTTAAATAGTGTACTGTAAGAGTATATTATTATATGCAGGCAAAAAAAAAAAGTATATAAAACAAAAAATACAGAATATATATATAATGAATATTGATATATGATATATTTATGGAAAATACGTGTTGACAAATAAATTATGTACTAATGGAACAATCAATTTATTACAATTTTATCCCTTTAAGAGATTAAGAGAAAGATTTTATTATTTTTATCTACGATACGAATTTGAAAATTCTTTTTTTGGCGCCATGAAATTTGCACGAAATTTGAAATAAACATGTCTCACGTTCTTTAGATAAATTTAATTTGTTAACAAAATTTATACATAATTTAACATTCTTAATAATAATTTAACAACATTTATTAATATTATTTATTATTTAATATTTATTATAAATTGTCTTTGTTTTCACGAGACATTAATTCATTAGTTTCAGTTTTTGTCACATTGGCGCTGATAGCGCCATAACTGAATACGTGATTGACTGTGGTTACATTATTGTCAGAATTATTTTACATTGTTTCTTGGTAATTAATTTAAGAAATGTCTTTAACAAGGTAAATTTTTATATAATTATAATTAATAATATATTATATATTGATTTTATATTAATTTTCTACATTATAGAACAATAGACACTTGAATTATTTAAAATTGTGATTTCTAACCTCTATAGGTTATAACACAGAAAAACTAATTAATGAAAATATTTATTTAAGAATAATTAATAAGTAAATTTTTTATTACAGTTTATTACCTGTACCCAATCAAGTTGTTTGGGATAGAGAGGATGAAGCTCGTGAACAAAAATTACGTCAACGTCCAGTCTCTGCTTTGGTTAAGGCTGTTATTACAGCACCACCCTATGGTCAAAGAAAAGGATGGGTTCCACGGAATGGAGAGGTTCATTTATTATTATTATTTATTATTTTTAAACAAAACATAGTATTTATACAGTTTACGTTAACTAAATCTCTTATGTAACTATTATAGGATTTTGGAGATGGAGGTTCCTTTCCAGAAATTCATGTCGCTCAATATCCATTGGGAATGGGAATGAAAGGAAAAGAAACGACAAGCAATGCATTAGCAGTTCAACTTGATGCAGAAGGAAAAGTTAAATACGATGTAATAGCTCGACAGGGTCATTCTAAAGATAAAATAGTTTATAGCAAACTCAGTGATTTGTTACCATCTGAAATAACAAATGAAGAGGATCCTTCCTTACAACGTCCAGCTGATGATGAAATCGATGAAATTACTGAGAAAACGAAGAAAGCTTTAGAAAAAATTACTAGATCTAAAATAGCTGCTGCTATGCCTGTCAGGTGTGCAGAAAAACAAGCACCAGCTCAATATATTCGTTACACTCCTTCGCAGCAAGGACAATCTTTTAATTCGGGTGCCAAGCAAAGAGTTATTAGAATGGTAGAAGCTCAGATTGATCCATTGGAACCACCAAAATTCAAGTAAGAGTAATTATCTCTAAATTATATTTTTATTATATTACTAATTGTACATATTTTTTTTTTTTATGTAGAATTAATAAAAAGATTCCACGTGGTCCACCTTCTCCACCAGCACCGGTTATGCATTCTCCGACAAGAAAAGTAACAGTAAAGGAACAGAAAGAATGGAAAATACCACCTTGCATCAGTAATTGGAAAAATGCTAAGGTATTGAGTTATTTCATGAGATATTGAGTGTTTTAATTATTATTAAACATATCATTAATATCTTATGGTAGGGTTATACGATTCCCCTTGATAAACGTCTAGCTGCAGATGGTCGTGGGTTACAACAAGTTCATTTAAATGAAAATTTTGCTAAATTAGCAGAAGCTTTGTATATTGCCGATAGGAAAGCTAGAGAAGCTGTTGAGATGAGAGCTCAATTGGAGAAAAAGTTAGCGCAGAAGGAAAAAGAGAAGAAGGAGGATCATTTGAGACAACTTGCTCAGAAAGCCAGAGAAGAACGTGCAGGATTAAAATCCAGTGCAGCATTAGGTTTGTTTGTTATTATTATTGTAAAATATAATTATTATATAAGAAACATATTAATGTTTTTTTTTTTTATTACAGATAAGGCAGAAGAATCACGCGAAAGAGATCAGTTAAGACAAGAAAGACACAAGGATCGTGCAAGAGATAGAAATCTAGCACGTGCTGCACCAGACAAGAGATCTCGTTTACAACGAGAACGTGAACGTGATATTAGTGAACAAATTGCACTTGGACTTCCAGCAAAGAGCATTCCTACTTCCGGAGAAGCACAATTTGATCAGCGCTTGTTTAATACCAGTAAAGGAATGGACAGCGGTTATGGTCATGACGACGAGTACAACGTTTACGATAAACCATGGAAAGATGCTAACTCTATTGCTTCCCACATCTATCGACCAAGCAAAAATATCGATAAGGATAACTATGGAGATGATTTGGAAAAACTCGTTAAAACGAATAGGTTTGTTTATTGTATTTTTTTTTTTTTTATTTAGATACATTTGATTGATTATATTTGTGTTTTTGTAGGTTCGTACCAGATAAAGAATTTAGTGGTACTGATAGATCAACGACACGATCTGGACCTGTACAATTTGAGAAAGATGAAGAAGATCCATTCGGTTTGGATCAATTCTTGAAACAAGCTAAGCACGCTACAAGTTCAACTAGTACAACTAAACGTAAAGAAGACAGAGATCAACGTCGTGATGAACGCGATAAACGTAGGAAACATTAATAATTCTTTCTTTATATTTTCTTTTTTAAACATCTCTTATCAATTGTATCATATATTTATACAATAAAAGCGGTATATATCTATATATACACACACGTATATATGTATGTATAACGGTGTGTATGTATATATGTATATGTATATGTATATATATATACACCATTTAAGAAAGTTTTGAATAAGTTAGATGGTAAAAAAATTGTTATACTTATAATAATCAAAGTAATAGATGTAAGTAAAATTTAACGTATATTAAGTATTTTAATATGTTTATAATTAAGTATATATATACATATACATATATAAATATATATGTATATATACATAAATATACAAATTAAAATGAGAATATTGGACAAATTTCAATATATTGCCGCATGTAGAGAACTAATGTAAATGTGTGCGTGTTGATAGTGTATAAATACGTACACATTAAAAAATAAATTATGACATTATGACGTTCAATACAATTGTGGAGATACTGTATTGATTTATAACGGTGGACTTATTTAATGATATTGCAAATGTAAACAACAAACGGTATCGACTTGATCGTCCTCTTCTAAGGAGTCAGTTCGAGCAGGACTTTCACAGTGTTTGCATCGTATCTTCTCAGAAGTAATTTAAATGTTTAATCATTTTATTTTATTTCATTTTTTTTTTTTAATTATTAAGGACTGTAGTCTATAATATTTCATAATAGTTATTAATTGTAATTAATATAGTTTACTTCATATAATAAACATTGTAATTTTTTAATATCTTGTATTACCGGTTTTCATAGATAGGATTTTCCATGTTATTTTTAATGTAATTTTAAAAACATAATCTTCTGCTTTATTAAAATATTTATAAAAATAAATTTTGTATATCATATATATGTAAATATTAATTACATTAAAAATAATATAGTTTTTTTTTTAATGCATTGATTGCATATTTGTAAACTTTTTTATGGCTTTTAATCAATATGTAAAAATTAGAAACAACGTTATTGCTTGTCGATAAAACAGTTTTGAGAAATCTTTTATTTATAAAACTATGCAATTTAAAAAAAAAATTGTATATTTACATTTATTTATCATTTTATTAGTAGTTTTTCTTATCTTCTTAATTTATTACAGGTAAATACGGATCGCATATTAAATATCACAGTAATCTACCTTACCGATGAGAACATTAGTACAGCGCTATCCAGTTACCAACATAATATACATTATCCGGAAGACCATTATACTACGCTGGATTCACGAGAGGACAGTGCTGTAAGAGTTATATACAATATCGTATATTTTAAACACTTGGTAAGTCTATTAATTTAAAATAATCAATTTTTTAACAAAATATATATATATTTAGCAACGCGAAAAATTCAAATTATTATTACTTTTTTTTATATATTTTTTTCTGCAATATTTAACGCTGAAAAATAATATTTTTGATTTAGTCTCCCCTTCGTTTACCCCCTCACTGTTTCTTTTGTATTTTTTCTATTTTAAATAGGAAACAAATTTTTCAAGCTTTCGAAATGTTTCATTAGCCTAATCCGAAGGCGTCGATAATTCTATTATCAAGCGTGTCGTGTTAGATAATATAATGTATGCGCAGGACTGTAATAAAAATCGACTTACACGTTTAGTTATCCCGAAAGCATACATATATAGGTACCTAAAAGCGTATCTATCTATCGGGTAGCACCCTTTTAGGTGTCGCTAAAAGTTTAATCAAAGTCAGATTAGCAGGGCTCGCTTCCACCTCGAGGGTGCACAACCGACCACCCTGCTTTTATTAAACGGGACTTGATTAGGGGGTTGCCAACGAATCTTTCGGAGTTTGTTTTTAGCTGGTTTTGTACGACATCGCACTTTCATTACGTGACTTTCGCATAATTGACTCGATTATTTACGACTAAACTTTGCTTTAACTTAATACACAAAATTCTAGTCCTTTTTTTTTTTTTTTCTTTTCTTAGATGTTGCATTCTGTTAATAATTTTGAATGAGATTTTTTGTAGGATTATGATATATTATCATTTTATTAATAGATAAAATTCTGTTTTATAAAGTTTCTTAAGTATTTCTTGTTTATAAATGTTGAAAATATTTTCATAATTTATATAAAAGTAGTTTGTTGGAATATTTTTCAATGAAATATTTTCTTAGCTTAAATTTGGGGTTGTTCAAACTAAATGTAAAAGTTTAATTTTGTATTGGAAGGATTGATCAATTTAAAAGGATTTGTCCTCTCTCTCTTTCTCTTTCTCTCTCTTTTAGTAAACGGTACATCGAATTTCGAAGGATAATTTCGAATCGGAAACGCGATAACGACCTCTGCTAAAGACACGATGATTAAGGGACAGCTTGGCGGAGACACGTTTAGGCATCGCCACGGGAGTGGGTGGGAAATGATTCAATCTCCGTGTAATCCCTGTAATCCCAGGGGTATATCTTCGCGCTCTCATACTCGAACCCTAGGGAAAAGCTACGTTAGTACACGCCTCTTTGTCCAAATGTTTCTCTCAGCCTCATTCACTCTCCCTCACTCATTCTCTTTCTCTCTTTCTCCTTCTTTCGATATTCCTTGATCATTTTCACAATCATTTTGCTTTGTCTCTTGTCTGAACTTTGACCTTTCCAAAATGAAAATTAGTTTCATCTTTATTCAAATTTTATTCTTTTTATTTAATATAATTATTTATTTATATATATATATATTAGATTTTATTATTGATTTTATATTTAATTTTATTTAGTTTTTTGTAATTAACAAAATTATACTTTGTCGATAATAGATTAGAAACAAAAATGAGTTTTATCTTTGTCCAAATTTAATTCTTTTTATTTAATATAATTATTTATTGATATATTAGATTTTATTATTGATTTTATATTTAATTTTATTTAGTTTTTTGTAATTAACAAAATTATACTTTGTCGATAATAGATTAGAAACGAAAATGAGTTTTATCTTTGTCCAAATTTAATTCTTTTTATTTAATATAATAATTGATTTATATATGAAATTTTATTATACATTTTATATTCAATTTAATTAATTAATTAATTTATTTCTTTTTTTTTGTATTTAATAAAATTATAAGCAATTGATAAAAGATTAAAAAATATTTTAGATAATATTTTGTATATTATTGAAATAACGAATGTTAGATTGAAAATGTCAGGATCGTCAGGACAAAGTGCAAATGCATTTAGGAAAGAGATGAGTGTCAGGAGGGGTTGGTGTAACCGCGCAATAACTACCCTCGCAAATACCAAACGGAATACGACGTGTATCCCTCGACAATATCACATCTGTGTGAGTATTACGTGTGTTCGTATTTATGTATGAGTGTGTTTACGCGGTGGGATCACATCACCGAGCACGTTTTCCATCCCTATGTAGCTTAACGCTAATGAATCTGATTTGCATCTGATCCTGAAAACGATCTTCGATTCTCCCTGAGTTAACTGAATGAATTATTTAAAGACCTTTCTCTCTCTCTCTCTCTCTCATTCTCTCCTTTCTTTCTTTTTCTTTCTATTTTTCGAATGATTGATAACGTAATATATATGTTTTCAATTTCTTAAAGGAATTTTTTCAAACATAAATTCTAATTGGATAGTTTCTCAAATTATCTGAAAATTTATTAGAAATGCATTTACAAAAAGATCCATTCGATTTGTAATTATTATTAATTTGAATATTTAATGTTCCTTTTTTTTTTTTTTTTNTTCCTTTTTTTTTTTTTTTATTAATGTTTGATTCAATTTTAAGATTCATTTTGTATATGTTTAAAAAATGAAAATAAAATTTAGAAATATATTTGATCAATTTTAGATTTAATAAATATTAGAATTGAATTTTTGTTTAAGTTAGAAGTAAATTTGAAAAATAAATAGTATTTTGTGTTATTGTCAAATATGCGATTAGAATCGATAAAGATTAGTTAAAACGGAGTGGGGGGGGGTGGGGTGGGGAGGTAAAGTAAAACTTATTTGACGTTTCACGAATGTGATATACTTTATAAGGATTTCTCGATAAATTGATAAAAATCGTGGCCTTCGATTCGTTCTCAACGTTGGAAATGAAATTTCCAATAGAAAGATTCTCGAAAAAACGATAAATATTAATAACGAGATAAGACAATATTCGTTCGGGACGGTTTCGAAAAGAAAAAGGATAACAAAGGAGAGAGGATTTTTCTTAAAGAATAAGATTTACGTTAAAATGAAAGAGAAAGAGGGTGAAACTGAGAGGGTGAGAAAGGGAAGAGAGGGAAATAGAGAAAGATTTAGAGATCTAAACGTAGATCTCGTACGATTTTTTGTTCCTTCCTATCTTTTACCTCTTTTGCTCGAACAGGTTCCTGTTTGAATGGGCGGAGTGCCCTCGGGATAGTTTTCTCGTGCCCCGCCCTTTTTAGGGCTCGTATTATTTACTCGACTCACCAAAATTTCATTTCGTTTTCTATTCTCATTTTACCTTTCGTGTTGTAAAAACTGTTGGGCCTGTGTTTTTCAAATTTTTAAACTGAAACCCAGTAAAATCACATTATCATTCAAACATCTACGTAGTTATTTTTATTTATGTTTAATTTATAATATAAATTGTATTTTTAATATTTTTTTTTTTTTTTTTTTTTAAATAAATTATAGATGCTTGTACATTTTTTTTTTTTGGTAACATTATTATATGTTATTTTTTATATTATTAATATTTATTTTATAATTTGTTTTGTATCTTTTTATGTGGAAGAAATGAAGTGGAATTTGATTATATTTTTGTATATTTAATTTTTTTCTTTTTTATATTATTTGAAGATGGAAGGAAACAACAAATTTTTTCTTTTTTCAATTATATATTTAGAAATTTTATTTAATTTTAAGCTTATATAAATCCATAATAATTTTACAAAATAGGAGATAATTTTGTAACATGTCACGTACACATCTAATCAAGAAAACTTTACAGTAAAATTAATTAAACGTGAAAGAAATTGAAATAACGATCAATCGATTAAATAGATCCGTTTAAATGAACTTGAACGAATGCATGATCAATATA